GCTGGGGACCTCCGGGTCCCAGGTCCCCCCTTCGGAAGACCCAGGCGCTGGACCACTGCTTCAACCTGCTGCAAAAACATCCAGCCCCGTGCCCTGTCCATGGACCTGCCTGGCTCTCCGCCTCCTGCCACAACCCTCCTTTTGTCCTGTGTCCCCATCCTTTGAGCCTGCCTGACCTCTGGGAGGGGACGGGAAGCCTCCCTGCTCCCCGAGAGGTGCCATCCCCTCTGGTCTGGCCAGGGAAACTCCAATCTCCAGCGCAAGGCAGCGAGTCCACGTGCAGCAGCCACTCCCGGCGCGCCCAGCTCTCTCCCTTCACCTGGTTCAGATATTATTCCTGCTCCCTTACTGTTGAAAAAATAACGCTCAAAATCAAAATGTAGGCTGTAAATTATAGTAATTACCCAGCAATTCCCCCTGACAGGCCTTTTGTGTTTCATTCGCTGACACTCACTAAGCAAATCCTCGCATTTTCTCCTACATGCTCGAGAAACATTCAGTCAATGGTGGCAGAAAGCGCAGCTCCGGGGGGCACGGCGGGCAGTGGCGCTATGGGCACTACCCCAGGGGTAACACCTTGGCCAAAGAGCAGCAAAGCCCCAGCCTGGGATGGTGGAGACGGGACCGCAGCCAACCGCAGCCTCCTCCAGGGCAAGCGTGGCCAATTCATGCCTTGGATGCGGTTTTGCCCTTGTGGTACTTAATCCACCCCATCCCGATAATTTTCACATCGCTTCGTACGAACTTCGTGGCAAAGAGGTGGTTTGCTCGGAGTGGGCAGATGGTGGTGGGGAACTCCAAGGCATGGCCCATCCCAGGACCAGCAAGAGGGACAACACGCAGCGACCGGCACGGGCTGCAAACCAGCTTCTCCAGCCCACATTTACTACCATCAGCAGGTTTTTACAGCAGTAAATATCTCTGACCAGAGAGGGGAAGGCTCCAGCATGAGTGCAGGCAAGATGAAGGGAGGAAGGTATGGAGCTCGGCTCCATCCCGGCTTCCCAGCATCACCCGTGCTGCAGCCAACTCCTTGTAAGAGCAACGGCTGCCCTGCCATGAAGAAGCGATGGAGGAAAACGCGAAGACCCACACAGACCTACCTGCCCTCACCTTTCAGCCAGTGGCTCATTAGAAATAACAGTGCAAACCCAAATTACGGTTGGAGGAGCGCACGCTCGTGCGTGTTTACACACCCGCTCAGGCTCCAGAAGGATCCTGTGCAGCGAGGCAGCACGCTGAAAGGCAGCCGATTTCAAAAGGCAATGGGAGATGGCTGGCTTCTGCCGTGGGCTTTTGTGTCAGTGGGTGTGGCTGTGGGTTAATTTGAAGAAATCAGTATTTTTTAAAAAAACTCCACTTTATTTTAGTTTTGTAGACAGAACGGGATTGGGAAAGAAATAGTTCAGGTCAGTCCAAAACTCATCTTACTTTCTGAATTGGTTGTTGGCAGAACTGAAAATCAGACCCGAAAGAATACCTCCTGTATCCAGGGAAATATTTTACAACTCCCCAAAATGAACTATTCAGGAGTCTTCATGGGTTATTTAACTCTCTGACATCAGCTTTTTACGTCCATGCCCAACTCTCCTCTGCCTCATCATACCGACTCCATCCCATGGCCTCTCCAGCTTCGCGGCCTGGGAAAAGACATAAAGAGCCCAAGCTTGGCTCTGCCCTGAGGGTGAGGAGCAAAGAGCCTCGCCAAGGTGCAAAAGGACCTCAGGTAAGCAAGAAACTGCCATTTCCACGTCGCCTCTTTTCAAAGAGCAAAACCACTTGTTAGACGCTGGGGAAAACCCAGAGCTGGGGCGAGAACAGATACCAGACTTTAAAGAGTAACGAAGGTCACACCAAAACCTCCCGGTTCATCAAGTGCAGCTCCAGCGTTATCGCAGCTGCTCTGCAACGCCGGGTGCTGGCGGCGAAACTCGGCGGAGGGGCTGGGGGGGCAATAAACCCAGCCAGCTGCTCCAGATTGGCGTTCACCCTCTGCTCGCAAACTCTCTTCCAGCCTACCTTTAACTCCTGCCCGCACGGGCTCCTGCCAGCAGGTCCCTCAAAGGCAGGAGCTGACTAAACATTGCCTTTTAAGGAGCAGCCCCGTCCCGCTGCCGAAAGCCTCCGCGCCCTGCCCGGCGGCAAAGCCAGGCAGAGCAGCGGGTGCTGCCCGCTCCCCAGGTTGGGAAGGGAAGGGAGGAAATCCTCGAGCAACTCTGGTTAATCAAAACCTCCTGCTTTTAGGATCACAGCCACGGTGCAAGGAGGCAATATCAGAAAAACATGCTACCCCGTAATTATACCAATCTCTGCACATTTTGACAGACTAGTGAATCAAAGTTTATTGCGTAATAAAAGTGTCATTAAGCAAGAACTTTCCTCTTGCTAGGTTTTCGTTCCCCTAGTTAACTTTAATAACACGGTACTCCCCTTTATTGTCTCTCCCGGCAGACACAGTCCTGCCTTCTCCCGCTTGGAAACTCTCCGCGCAGCTCTGCGACTCTGGAGCAGAGCAGACGACTTTGGTGTCTCACTGTCCCAGGGTTGTTTTCTCTTACCTCCCTGAGCAGAAACGACACGGGGTTTCATGCCACGCACAAAAAAGCCGGGCGTGGATGGCAAGGCCAGGCTGATCTCCCGGCTGGTGGGTGCTGGGAGCAGGGGTCGCCATCCCCATCTGCCCAAGCGCCCCGGGGTGTTAGGGCTGACTTTCTGTAGGACTCGCATCTTGCTTGTTTAACTCCCCGAACCAGCCGGCTGTGGGCTCAGACTGGTACCAGTACCTGGGAAGAAGGCTGAATCCCTACGGTGAGGATGACGGTGCCCGTGTCTCCGAGCCCACCCCGAGCCGGGTGCTCGCTGCCTCCTCCGCCCCTGCCCAGCCGTGCCAGCAACGGGCTCTGCTGCCGCCTCCTCCAGCCTCTGAGGTTACCTCTGGGGTTTTGCAGCTGCCGCGAGTTGGAAACCCCCACCACACCAGTCCCTGGAAATGCCGAACAGAGCCAGTTCGAAGCATTAAAACGGCTGCTTCCTGGCAAAGGGGAATTTGGCTTCTCTGTAGAAGTCTGGTGTTGCAGTCTCAGTTTCCCAGGTTGTAACGGAGGGGAAAACATCAGCAATCGGGCTTTACACCAGCAAATCTCCCTGCCCTGTCCTGGCCCCCGGGCTGGAATAATGCTACGTGCTCCCACGCTTCATCCTTCCTCCACGCAGGCTTTGGCAGCTGGTTTTAAGACTCCTTAAGCACACCTCCAGCATAAAACAGCAAGAGGCACTTTTTAGCAACCAGATGCGATCTCCAAAACAAAGCGGCGCTCGGAAAAGATCCCTCCAATGACCCTCCCCTGCTCAGCACCTGCTCACCCCATTACCTGGCCCTGGGCCAGTTTGCTTGATTAAAGTCTATCTATAAAGTTTTGTGTCTATAGAGAGCCCTGCTCGGCAACGCACAGGATTGGCACTGGGCTGTAAAGAGGGTTGGAACAGCTTAAAGGCGAGTGAGCCAAACACTTTGGGATATTCACAGGCAAAGTAATCCAAGTCCACAGTTCCCATCGGCACCTGGGCAGCCGGCGCTCCAGAACGTGTAATCACCATCCCGGCAGCAGGTGCATTTTCCAAGCAGAGCCGAACCCGCTAACACGCCTGTTTGCGTTTGCCATCCCCAAACGGCACTCATTTCCATTTTAATTTCCCATTTACAATCCTCACTGGGCCAGGAGAGTCGGCAGCAATGCAAGTGGGATGCATGGGCTGGGGACGTGAGCTCGACAGCCCATCAATAGGACGTGACTTTGGCAAAAAAAAAATTAAAGCAGCAAAAGAGCTGGCGCAGGAGCGGCACGAGGAGGGGAAGTGGCAAGAAGGGCTGTGCTACACTCAGCACTTTTTAAAAACGGTCTCAGCAAAGGCTCTGAATCAGTGCCAGGATGTAAAGTCACCCCGCACTGCCCGCAGCCCCAGCTCTCGCGAGCTCCCCGACGCGTGGCTGTGGAGTGCCGGGGTTCACCATCCTCTCCCTAAATCCCAGAGCTGCAAACACAGGCAGACGCTCTCAGCATGTCTGGAACAGATTGCACCGATAACACGAACCTCCCGAGAGCTGCACAAAGCTACGCTTCATGCTATAGACACCAGAAGCTGCAAAAAGCAACAGGCAAAGCACCTTCCCCATTTCCTACGGCTGGCTCCTGCCTCGCGGGACACACTCTGGCTGCAGCCCAGCTCCCAGGGGCGGAGAGGCCAAGCACGGCCCCCACACCACTGCCTGCCTCCCCCAAAAACCCCCACCGAGGCTCGCTGGGAACAAACCAGCAGCGGGACGGGCAGAATCCAGCCCCACGGCTCAGGGCCCAGTACCCTGAAGAGTCTCCAGCAGTCAGACACCATCCATCCCTGATTGCTGGATTAGCTCCAGCAGAGCCGACAGGAAAAAGAAAAAGAGCAGCTCACCTTTTTTAGCCGTCTCCATCTCCTCTTCGGTCCAGCGAGAGCTTTCATTCATCTCCAGAGAAGCTGGGAAGGAGGAAGGAAAGGAGAGCAGTCAGCTGTGAGCGGGAGCCAGCAAGCCCCACGAGCTCAAACGCCCAAACTCCATCCTGCACCCTGTTCCCCAGAGGCACGACAAAATGCCGTGCAGCGCAGAAGTGCTTCTGCAGGGAAGGCTGTAGTGGTGCAGGCTCTCGAGGCTTTTCCACACCAGAGTAACCCATGCACAGCATTCCCCCTCTGGGATGCATCTCGGTGATGCAGAACCTCTACTTTGGGACTGGAAGCGAAGCCAGATGGCTTGAGGGTGGCAGC